TACTTTTTTCAACTTCAGGATCTTTTCAGCAAATATTGCTATGCAATCTTAGTTTGTTCTGTTTTCGGTTATTATTTCTATCACCGTCCTTGGAAAGAAAACATCAACTTGCGCTGCTACCGCTTCTCGTTTGGGCAGCTACTTATTGCACTCAAAGAATTTATATTCTGCGGTATTATTCTCAGTTCCGCAATATATGCAATTTGGTGACTCTATTTTGCGTATGCGATAGACGTAGCTATTCATTTATCCATGACTAGACTGGAATTTAGCGAGGTAGTAGTTAACTTGCGCTGCTACCGCTTCTCGTTCGGGCAGCCACTTATTGCACTCAAAGAATGTGTGTTCTGCGGTACCATTCTCAGTTCCGTAATATATACAATTTGGTGACTCTACTTTGCGTATGCGATAGACGTAGCTATTGATATATCCATGACTAGACTGGAATTTAGCGAGGTAGTAGTTAACCTCGCCGAAGTCCTTTGCTGGCCAGTTTTTTAGCTCGGAAATGAGCCTTGCAGTCTATCGTCCACGACTATCTGAGTTCAAACAATGCTGCCATACTGTATTGGTTCCGCGCCTTGTCGTTCCCCATGTGTTTTGTCTACCAAGATGCCTTTTGCTTTTGAGCCTGCAGGTCAATTGGAATATTACCACTAATCATCAGCATCCTTGCGGTACTAGATCACTACTAGATATTAAGGAGCAAAGCCCATCTAAACTTCTGCTGTTTTTAAGATCACAGTACGCTGAGCGTTATGAGGCGTTTAGGAAAGTAAATTCGTAGAAAAATAACAGATTTCTAAAAAGAACGAATACTAAACGAATTTCTGGAAAAATGCTTGAATTATTATTAGCCGCAATTTTTTTTCAGAGTCGTGAAAAAAACAGCATTAAGTCTGGTTGAAACAAATTGGTATCACTTTTAAAATACGCTAAATGCTTTTTTTTGATATATGTTTTTCGTTGTATTGTGTACAATATGATATATAAAAATTGTGAACATTAAAAATTAATTAAATTAAATAAAAGAAAAATATATTTAATATATTAAAATTAATTTATTTATTTATATATTTCAATTTATTAGTAAATGAAATGTTCATGTGATATTAATGGATGACTGAAATTTTGCAACAGTGAACTTTCACAACAGATTGATTTTTAATTTGGCTACATTGAAATTTAACACGTCAAATTTTTGACGAGTAAAATTTAACTCTGAAAATTTTAAGAGCATTGTTATTGCTTTATATGCTTTCTTTCGTAAGTTGCGAGTAATTTTTTGCTACTCTGAAAGAATAAATTACGGCTCTTATAACATAAAAGTTTTTCTAGTTAAATTGATGTTGAAAAAACAACTCAAACTGAAGATATTTTCACGTGTAGAAGAGAAACATTTCTTTTGAGAATTCAATTCTAATATTAATAATGCAAAAGGAAAGTTTTCAATAATTAAATTCAAATGAATTAAATGCAGGATTTTTAAAAAACATTTCCATGCTACTGCAGATACAAAATGTTCCAGGAAAGTGATTTCCTTTTTATGGTATTTGCTTGCTTCAAGACAACACGTTTCAAACATAGTTGCTTCGTACTCGTATTAAACTCACTGAACGCCATTCAAATCGAATAAAACCACTTCGATATCAATCCGAGTAAATCGTAAAAGTAAGCACTACATCGGAATTCCTTTATATTTGAATTTACGTAATCCTTTCGATACACAAGGAGGTATAAATAAAAAGGCTATAAACAATTTTTAAATTACATAAAAGCAAGAAAAGCATCGATGTAAAGTAGATTTTAATCTGACAGTTTCTTTAACGTTGTTTCGCCTTCGAAAAGGTTGTTGTTGTTGCTTACGTGCTAAATGTGTCAGTGTCGTAGCTACGAAATTATTATAATTCATAAGAAAAAAATTTAAAAATCCTGGCAGGATATATAGGTATCTGTTGCAGCACAACGTGAGCGTAGAAGAAAAAAAAAAAACTAAAAACAATAAAAATACACAAGAGCTTAGTAGGGAAAAATGCTAACAACAAAAAGTTCTTTTTTTTTTTTATTTTTTTTTTATTTTTTTTATTTTTTTTTTGCTTGAAAATAAGTTATAACCAGGATATTGAATATCTTCTAGCGTTTTTACGTTGAGACCGGATGTATCCATAAACAGGTGAAAATAATTGAAGTGGAGCGCAGTTGATAAAGCACAATGCAATAGGGGAAGGGGAACATATTCCGACAAATAACAGTTCAAAATTGATTGAGTCAAAATTTGATTTGCCATACACAGGAAATTTATTTATGTTAAGTTTATAAATTATATATGTAAATACTATGTTTTTTTGTATATAAGCAAATGCATGATTCTATGTATAAATTTTTTTATAATATTTTTGTTACAAAAATTTTTTAATTTAATTAAAATTTGCTTCCATTACTATATTTAAAAAAATTTTTTTCCTGAAACACAAAAGCTACTCACCTATAAAGCATCTGACATCATAACTAGTACCAATCGGTGCTCCATAGTAACGTTTTGCTGGCACTAATTGCACACTAGGTGGCGCTTGGGATGTCAGACTCAGTGTAAATGGATGTGCACCATCACCCAAACGTTTAACAAGTGCTTCCTAGAAAGAATTCAAATAGCAAATATAATTATATTTCTATAACTGAATTTTATAATTCATTAACAAAATTTACTTAAAACAAAACAATTTTAATACAGTGTGTACTAGAAAATAAGTAAATTAATTTAATTATAATTTTTTTCTTATGCTGATTGCTGTTTTTAAATTTAAATTAAAAAAAAATAAAAAATAAAAAACAAAAACAAAAATATTTATTCAATTAAAATTTTGTCAAAAAGAAAACACTATTCAAAATGTTATGGACCTGAGTGTTCTTGCCGCTTGAATATTTAAGGGCAGTTATAGGTCCTTATTTGGGTGAGATAGTAGTAAGTCCTTTTGCATTTGAAATTATTTTTAACGATGAAAATTATGTTAGGAAACGAATTTAATTTAATGAGTAAATAGAAATGTTGAAGTAACAGAAAAATGTCTGAAATTAATGTGATGGAAATGTCATTAGATAAAATTAAATGAATATTTTTTATGCATATTTATTGATATTTAAATAATATGAAGATGAATTTCATTCTTTAATGAAGTTGTTGGATAATTTGTTATTTATTAATTGTTTATTTCTTGAAATTTTAAATTTCATATAGTAGATTATTCAATAAGTATGTATAATAAGACATGTAGCTGAATAATGGAGAAACTGAAGTCATTCCCTGTAATAAACCTAAGGATTATAATCATGCAAATGTATAAAAGTAGATAATTGTTTCGTTGAATTGAAATGATATTCCTTATCATTATAACCTCCATCCATACACTTATTCCAATGATACTCCAATTAATGGAGGTCAGATCTGAAGTGTTTTTTTAAAATTTTTCTAAAATACACCTCAATGCAGTTTATGCAGTAAAATTATTTTTTTGAGTGGCGAGAAGAGTGAAAAGTCAGAGAGAGCTAGGTTTAACTAATAGGTTAATTGATTTTGGGGTTGATTTTCTGAACTTTGAAAGCAAGCGCATTCTTTTGATAAAAACTTATATCTTTTTTCTTCAAATTGAGTCAAACTATTTCATTTGAAAAAGCAGATTAAACTAACACATTTAATACTTTATTAAGAATTTTTTTACTGCAAAATATATATTTAAGCTATATAGTGGTTACTCAACAAGTTTGCTAAATAGCTTTTTAATCTATGAAATAACATTTTGTGGTGAATGAAGAGACAATAGTCATTTGACGTGTCTAAAACATTGGCTGATTGATGAAACAATTTGCACTTAATATATTGACTTTATTAAGGATTTTCCAAACCCAAGTTTTGAGAAAAACAAAAAAAAAACATTTATTTAAAAACATCAGATTCACCCAACATAGTTATTAGAGGAATAGGTACGTCTGACTCTAACTGTACTTAACCTTTAAATGAAGAATATAATGTTTGTAGCATAGGTAATATTTAAAAGCTACTACTTCATTTTCACTTCAGCTGTTTTTGATATCGCCGAATAACCATTATCTGTTTAAAAAAAATCTGTTGTATTAATTTCATGTATATAATTTTGGATTTCATATATGAGAAATTAAACCCTATCAACTGTGGTCCAGTGTATTAACACACAAAATCGATTTAGTCGATAAAATTCTGGCAAAGAAGATTTTATTTTGTGAAAAATCTTTATAATCTTTAATTCTTTGTAAAAATATTCTCAATTAATCCGTATGAAGGGTATTCGGTAAGGGTTCGGATTCGGAGAAACATGTATTTAAGATGTTTCTCTTTAAAAATATTTAACTAAATATTTAACTAACATGTTTGTATAACTTGCTTGTGATAAGCATTACTTACTTTAATTAATTTGTGTGTAAAAAACCTCATCTTATTTAGTTTACAAAATCTTTATTTATGAAACATTTACTAGTATTTACTAAAATGTACAAGTGAATCTCCTTCGACAGCAAGTTCTGCTGTCCTGATTTAAAACTAACCACAAGGGAGGCATTTGAAATATTTCGCTTTGAGTTAAATGAACTGCAAATGTGTGTGTTTTACGCTTGCTTTGCTAAGCAAAGCTACTCATTCTCAAGTGTTTGTGTTTGTGCTGGTGTTAGTATTAGTGTTGGCGTTGTTTACTAACTTTTCATATTTACACTTGCTTTTGTTACTTCATTCGCAAATTATCACCTGAAATAAGCTTTTCAATTTTATTGAGAACATCAACTTATGTTGCGTATTGGCGTTGTTGTTCTTGTGCATTTGTCTTCTCATGTGAACGGAAGCAAATCAAATACACAACCACAGCCTTGTATGCATGAGTATGTAAGATTCTAGTTGGATGAGTTGGGATTGTGTTGAAGTTTCAATCACAATGCAATAGTATTAGTTTTCTATTTTCACACCTATACAGAATACGTTTACGTAAAATATAAATAAATAAAAAAAATTATAAATATTTTATTCCAACTTAGAGATTTTATGCGATCGATAAAATTAAATGAACTCAAATGCAAATAAGTCAAATGCAAAAGCACAATTCAAATATAATTTAAAATGTAGACTGAATAATATATTTATTTATTACTTTGACATAAATTGTGAAAAGAAAAAATTCCACAAACAAAAACAAATACAAATGAAAATAAATTGTCATTATTGAATCTCTTCAACTTACTTGCAACGGACTCAAGGACTCTCGTGCAGGTTCTTCGTTGCGTGGCCATATTTGATGTAACGACATAATGGCCTCATTACAAAAGCGCAGACCCATTACCTCCTCATCCTCACGACCATAACTGTCAAAATATAAGAAAAAAATAGAAAAATATAAGAAATTCTTAGGCACTGTGAAAAATGTTTGAAAAATTAGAATTTTAATTGCTGTGAAAATGATTCGCTTTTCGCTTCTAATGTTTTTTAAAATGAATAAAAAAATGAATATTTAATGTTGAATAAATATAAAGAATTGTTTAATATAAAGAATTGTATAATGAATGGCTAGAATAATTTTATGGCTTAAATATATATACAAAAAGGTGTACTACAATATATTAAAGTATTTTTATTTTTCAAGTGTAAAATTGTTTAAATAATATCTTTACTGATTGCTTAAGTCTAATTGAAAAATCAAAGAGAATGAAATAAAATAAAAAAGTTCAAAAAAAAAAAAAAACTAACAATAAAAAAGAAAAATCTTCAATATTATTTACTAAAGTAATTAAATTAGATATTAAAAATGTTTTTGCTTTGTATTGGACAAAGCTTCAGATTCCTACTTTGTATTCAGTTTTCATTGTTGTTTTAAATGTTTTTTGTCCCATTATTTTTTTTAAATTACTATAATTCAATTAGTATTGTAATACATGGTTTATTTAATACTATCACTTCCACAAATAATAAGTATAACTTTCAAGAATATTTGATACGTATTTTTCTTTCAATGAATCACAATAAATCATTTCAACAAAAACAACAAGAGCCAATATAAGAACTTATATACAATAAGAATAATGCCACGACTACAATAATTCAATTAGCTCAACTATTGCAGCAATATTTCAATTCAGTCAACTATTGCAGCAATAGTTCAATTCAGTCAACTATTGCAGCAATAGTTCAATTCACTCAACTATTGCAGCAATAGTTCAATTCACTCAACTATTGCAGCAATAGTTCAATCGGTCAACTATTGCAGCAATAGTTCAATCGGTCAACTATTGCGGCAATAGTTCAATTCACTCAACTATTGTAGAAGTAGGTCAATTCGCTTAACTATTGTAGCAATAGTTCAATTCGCTTAACTATTGCAGCAATAGTTCAATTCGCTTAACTATTGCAGCAATAGTTCAATCGGTCAACTATTGCAGCAATAGTTCAATCGGACAACTATTGCAGCAATAGTTCAATGGGTTAACTATTGCAGCAATAGTTCAATGGGTTAACTATTGCAGCAATAGTTCAATCGGTCAAGTATTACAGCAATAGTTCAACTCGCTTAACTATTCCAGTAATAGTTTAATTCGCTTAACTATTGCAGCAATAGTTCAATTCGCTTAACTATTGCAGCAATAGTTCAATCGGACAACTATCAAACCAAAAGACTAGAATTGATCATTAAAGAAGATATAGTCTTACACCTATATAATGCAAGATTTCATACAAGTTTTTACAATTTGTTTTACAATTTGTATGGAATGTACATATTACTACAACTATGATATTTCAAAAATTAAATATCTTTGGATTTTCACTTATTTATTGTTTTAACAAAAATATTTATTGGATGGCAACCCTTTAATTTTAACCGGAAATAACAAAAATTTCTTGTAACAGTTTTTTATTAAGTGAAATTATACGAAGGTGAAGGTAGTAGCTATACGAAAGTGAAGTCATGCCACTACCACAAAGACAGCAAAAGATATTGACCAAAATGGATCAAATTCAGTGAAATATTTATACAACAAAACAAAGCAAATTATATTTTGTATTGTGTTTTGTTTAAAAATGATATGGTATCAATATAAACCCTATTGTACAATTCTTTTATTTCAAATAAAATATTTTATATTTCATTATAGTGTATAGTTTCTTTATATTTCAATGAAAATTGTGGTAAATTTTTATTAAACAAATTTCACGTACCTTAATTGGACTACAAACAAACTTTTGTCAATTTATTTCATGAAATTGTATCTACACACTCGTATCTACACACTCGTATCTACACACTCGTATCTCACAGTCATTATCAAAACAAACACTTCTGATAATTGTTGCAAGACTCACAGTTCAACCATTTAGTAAAAACCAAAAAAAAAAAACCATTGAGAAGCAATTTTGCCTAGTGGGCAATAAATTCTTCGAAAATGTATTTGCTATGCCAGCACAAAGGGTTGTGCATTGAAAATTTTGAGTACATGCAATTGATGGGGCAGTTTCAGTTTGAAACCATTCATAATGGTTACTTTGATTCAGAATTGTAGTTGTCAGTATGAGGATATGTAATTAAAAATTCATAGGGAAAGTTAACAACTTAAACTATTTTGAAAAGAAAGTTACGAAATTAAATTTTAAGATACTTCAAGAACAGAATTTCAAAAATCTTAAGTGATTATCGAATTAATTTCAAAACCGAATAGAATTTCTGATAGGCAATTAAATCTCTTGCATATCAGCATAATGAACCCAATTAAATTTTTGCTTCCACCTTCATTTATTGAAAATAATTGGAGTGTGATGATATTAAGTCTGAAATTCGATAGATACAATACAATGGATATAATTGCAGTGCCATTTGTGATGTAACAATAGGTCAATAGAGCGATTTGTGTTTGATTAAAATGTTACTTAACTTAATTATAAACAAATGAATTAAGAGAATATCTTCGGTTGATATGTATAAGTATTATTTTAATTAGAATATTAGCTAATTAAAACGTTTTAAATGAAATTCAATTAAAATTGATTTTATGATTACATAACGTAGATAAAGTTCAGATGCGTGCAAATCTGCTAATTAGTTTTGACGTAAGGTAACTTAATACAATAGCTAATTAATTACATTTGAAATATATTTTTCTACATTTATATTTGCATACTATAGTATTGAGTAAGCAAAATAATAGGTGAATAATATCTTTTTATATAATTTATTTATTTAATGTAAGAAAAAATAATGGAATTTTATTGAAATTTATATTTTATGTATATTTTACCTTCAGCGCAGGTAAAATATGGAAATCCGATATTTTGTAAAGTTTCTCAAGAGTTCTTGAAAAAGTGACATATTATTTAAGTCATTAAAATATAAATTACTTCAATTATTTTCTATGGTTTTTCTTTCAAGTGCCAGATTATATTTCGAACTCATACTAAATGTACCGACAAAAGGCAATTGAACCGATGAGGATTTTAACACATTTTTAATTTATTTGAGTTGAGTTTTATACTGCATTGAGTAGATATGATTTTGTATTATGGTTTGATATTGTGAGTAGCAGCTTTACTGTTAGAATATATTTCATACTAAAAAGGCATGTGTGGCTTTCTACTCTTGTTAAGGGATGTTTGAATAAAAATGGGAGATTTGTCCCGATATTACACACTGGATGTATACGGCCATTGTACGTCCAATTCTCACGTATGGCGCTGTCGTTTGGTGACTGGCTCTGAGTAAGAGCTATAACATTGATTAATTCAACAGAGTTCAGAGGACGCCATCTGTTGGCAGGAGCTTTTAGGATGACCCCCTGGAACGTCCACGGTTTCTAAGGCTGAAATCGTAGCAAACCTTTGATTGCCAGACAGCAATCAAAGCCCTTAAATCTTTCATAACAAAATTAGAGATAGTAAAGGAATGAAGAGAAGAAATCGACGATCTAAATAGGTTGGTTGATATCACCCTGGGCTGACAATTTGGCCCGCTCTAGTGCTTCCCTGGGTGTGTCACTGACGGTACGGGTTCATATTACCCTAGAGACCATTAAGAGAAGTACTTGCCTCTAGTTTTTGCAACTTACCAATAACAGATGGAAAGCACTCAAGTTATGTGCAACTTTCAGGTTAACATGGCCCACCTATAATAAAAATAGATCCTCGGAACCCATCAAAAGAGAACGCGTGAATACTGCAAGACTTAGTGTAGTTCTTTCTGATCATTGGTGTTTAGGAATCCACGCAGAGAAATTGCGAATTCCTCATAATCCTCACTACAGAAGTTGTAGAAACCCGGAAGAAAAAGAAACCATAATACATTTTTTCTGTAAATGCCCGGCTTTAGCGTCTAGAAGATATAGGTTCTTAGGAAGATAATTCTTTGATAGTTTATCAGACTGTTCATTTGGGAAGACGAAAGATCTATTAAATTATCTAAATTCAGCGGGATAAATCCAGTCACCACTCTTCTATTTTAGGGTTTCTTGCGAGGAATATGGTAGCATATGGCAAAAAATCGCTAATTGAGGTACGTGGAAGTTAACTAATGGCCTGCCATTACAACCTACCAATCAACCGTATTCAATACTGGTAATGAGTGTAGATTCCTTTCTAAATTCAGTCGACAAGCTTACTAAATAGCAAAAATAGAATATTGAAATACACCGGACGAGCCCGAATTCATATGAATTGTGGGTAATATTATTTATATAAAATTGGTTAATTGTTTTTAAACCACTTTCAGATAGAACAATATTATATAGTTGAGCAAGTATTAATAATTATATATATATATATATATTTATTAGTTCCCGCAGACGGCGAAAACGCCATAGCTGTAAGTTTTATATTAATAATATAACTTTTATAGATTTCTATGTAACACAATATATTTAAAATGAAGTAAAATAAATCTAAAATACTACTTTTACATACTACTACTACATTTATTAGTAAGTAGTAACTCTGTATGAATAAAGAATTAAGTTATATTGTTGAACTGAATTATGAAATACAATAGTTGTTATCAACCAACCGGTTGATGAATACACAACCGATACACAATATAGGAAAAAGTTATTCAGATAATAAAAATGAGCTTTACAGCATGACGAAAGTTAACTTGTAAAAGAATTAAATATAATTTTTGGAAGAATACTACAAAACTAGAAACAAAATTATAACTTACCGAAACGTCAAAGTCAGCTGTGCATACACACGATAACCTTGTATAGCTTTTGGATCAACGAAAACAATACCACGTAGTATGGATGGACTGCTGCCCGATAGTGTTATCTCGCGTGTCGGTAGATAAAGTGTAATCACACAATTCGGTGAAGTTTTTTTATATACACGTTGTGTGCCAAATTCATCTTTACTTGTTGTTAACCTAGAATATTAAAAAAATGGGTGAATATTCGTACATTAAAAAAAAAATAAAACTAAAATTTAACGAAGCTGCTAATGATAATTGTTTACATCATGTAAATAAAATATTACACCCACAACAAAATACCCGTAGCCTAGAATATCGAAGCTACATAAGCACATTACATTTTTGGGCTGCACCTAATTTCACTTAATATTACTCCTTCCTTTCGTGCCGAGTCCAACAATACTGACTGACGTCAATATATTTTTATTACTGTTACGTACCACGCTCAGCAATTTCAGTGTAATAGGAAATTACTCACATAATTAATTGCATACTTTCAGGTAAAACACAGATACCATGTTTACAAATCGATGCATTCGAATGGGCAATAGCGTTTGTTTTTAGTACTTGGTAATGTGAATTCAGATGATTTGTAGTCCCATCCCAACACCATGTTATTGTACTTGACTTTAATTGCTGTATCTGCTAAATTTGTACATTATTTGTCTGCTATATCATCGTTAATTGCAACATTAAAAGAGTTTGTAGACATTTTAAGTGATATTAAGGATAAACACACAATATTGGGATTAATTTATGGCATTAGGATAAAGGCTCATCATAAAAAAGTTATTGTTTACACACTTACAGCAATTAGAACTGTTTTAAATGAAATGTAATTGATATGCTATGATTGTACATTCAGCTGAAATGAAAATTGTTGACTTTTGTAATATAATATATGCCATCATATATCATCATTTACATTTTTAAAAAGTTGAAATTATAGTTATTTTGACATATCTTTAATAGTTGTCTAGTCAGCTCATAATCATTTTTTATTAATTTATTTGAATTTTTTTTATTTTGAACTTTAATGATTTTTTTAAATATTTTAATATACTTTTTTTACATCCCATTTTTCTTCTCTTCTCAATTCTCACTTTTTTTATAAATTTTTCTGGTCTATATACTTTACTTAAATTAAAAATTTAGTTTAGAGTTTATGTTATTTTATGTCTTATGTACTACAACTATTTTCTGATTTTACTTATAATCCAAAACTTTTTTCTCTTTTCTCTTTGTAATAATTTTTTACAAATATTCTTTAAACATAATTTTTTTTTAAAGAATAAAATATTTTTGAATAAAGTATTCGTGTTGCTGTAAAGCTAGACTTTCTTTGTATGGTGACTTCAATAAAATTAAAAATAAATTTTTGTGTTTGTCCTTTATTTCTTTCTTTGTTATTCAAAACCCCTCTGAATAAAATATATTAAGAAATTTTCTTTATGCTGGAACTTAAAAAAATTATAGCACCAATGCCATTGCAAAATCTATGAACAAACAACATTTTTACAACAACAGCGATATTGTCTTGTGTATTATTTTTTTTGTGTTTTTTCTTTACAAGGCATGACACTTGGTGATATGGTAATTAATACCATGATTCTGAATAAGAAATAGCAGGGTAAGAAGCGGTTCTTGGCAACTCTATTCTCTCAAATAATTTTTTATCTAAAATGACTTTCATCACAATTGGATTTTTGGTATTTCTGTTCTCTCTAATATGTTTTTTTGTAAAATGAGTTTCATCATTTTCATCGAAGAAATTATAACTGCCGTAGTATCCAGCAAGTCGCTGCGAAAGTGATTATTGGACTTACGGTTCAAGTTATCACTTTAACCAATCTCTGTATGACCTTATTGTACAGCCTATTATGTCTAAAATTTATTGAACTGTATTGTGTAAAATAAAGAGTCATTTATTGTCAGAGAATACTTTAATACTTTATTATTATTAATACTAATTACTTAATATATGAACATTTTTAAATGATTGCTTCGGAACATAAATATTTTTGTGAAGGTCTACTAACTAGAATATATTTAGTATTTAATTTTTTAGTAAATGTTATTGAACATTATTCTTAATTTAATTTTTTCTTAAGTAAAAATAAAATATAAATCAAAAATATGTAACATTTCGATATAAATGAAATATCAAATAATGTGCCTTTCATTCGAATGAGTTACAAATTAAATAAATAAACACAAAGAAGACTTCCACCATCATGACAGGTTACATGTTAAGATGCTGCAAAGTGTTTTCTGACTTAGAAAATATTTTTATTAAAAGTAAGACAGCATAACTCATTGTGGCTTTTCTAGTAGATATGAGTAACATCAAAAATGGCAATAAGCAGCATCACCTAAGTTAGTTTCTTATGTTCATTGCTTCAACCTTAAACTGTCGGTTTAAACCCATCCTGTTGACCAACACTACAGTTGTGGACATTTTTTGAACTGAAGTTAAGAAGGTGACATTATTTGGTTCATAATAGTTCAATTATTGTGAGTGGTTTCTTAAAAGTAATTACTTTAAATTGATATTAAATTGTAATAAATGAAACAAATGTCTTAGATAAAATCCAATAGATATTACAAACACTTTTATAATAATATCTATAAAAATTTTATTATCTTTTGTTGCTTATTATAGAACCGTAAATTAATTTCGTTTTCTATAGAAATTGTTTTAATTTTTATTTTTATTTTTAACATTAATAATATTTTAGGAAAATATGATTTTTTTAATTATTATAAAATAAAATGTCTTATAATAGGATGAATTTTTTTTTTTATTTTTTTTTTTTTGTGGTGAAGAGGTGGAATGCTTTATGTACCATCAGATCGACCGTTTTCGAAATGGTGTGCCCCCTACCTGTCCACTACCACTACCTCTTCGGCGAGAATAATTCCATCTCGGCACCGCTTACACATTACTTTGAGGAGGGTCTCTTTTATGTTGGCATTTCAAGCCATGCTCTTGTGAATATGACCACCAGTAAGTGGTTTAAGAAAATGTATCACAAAAAGATGTTCAGTTTAAAAGATATTCAGTTTTTTTATAGAATATATAATGTTTTTAATTCAGTTAAGAACAAATATCTAATAATACGATGAGTATAACCAGTAGGTGTTTATAAGAAATTATATTGTAAAAAACATAAAAGTGGTGCTTAGAGATATATAAATTGTATATTATTTTTAATTAAAGAATAATTAAATGTCAATAAATATATTTGGTAGGTGGATAAATAAATTTGTTGTAAACAATTTAAAGATATATATACGTACATATTCATTGTATATATATTGCATCCAACTGAAGAGGAAGAATAAATGCTTATAATATAATAAGTGTGACTAGTAGGTGGTTTTAAGGAAATCTATTGCAAAAAAACTGACTGTCTTAAAAGACATTGTATTGCAAACACAGCTTCTTATAGGATATAAATTGTACGACGAGTATAACCAGTGGGTGTTTGTAAGGATATTTATTTTAAAATACCGGAGTGGGCTTTAATATATATGTATTGTATACTATTGTTAATTAAAGGAAGAATATTTTGTTTAATGTTTATCATATTATTAGACATTTATTCTTACTTCAATCAAAAACATTATATATATATATATATATCTATATGTATATATATACATTATATATATTGTTTATAATTGCGGTAAGAAAAAATGTCTAATAATATAATGATAAGTACCTATGACCAGTAGGTGTTTTTAAGGAAGTATATTGTACAAAA